CTTTCTTGAGAAAAAAGGTACTCCTGATTGGAGGTTTAGCTTAGGACTTACTTCCAAGCTTCCCTTCCCTGTCTTGCCGAACCTCCAATCCAATCCAGTCCAATCCTCTCCTTCACTCTTCTTTTCTTTAGATACCTTTCATCATCTTCGACAAACCCGACCAAACGAAAAAAAAGAGGGAAAAAAAGAGAGAGAGAGAAGAGATGGCACAATCAAGCTCATCAGCTTCACCTCAGCCTCCCGCCAGTCGTAACGGCGGTGGCGTCCAATTATCAGCAACGGAATACCAACAACAGCAGCAACACCGATTACAAGCTCTCCAGCAACCAAAGGAATCCCCTCAACCTACACCGTCATCTGCTGTTTCTGCTGATGGTATAAATTTTCAACCGTCGGGAACCCCGGGCGATGATGGTGATGCTGGAGACCCGAAACGACGGAGGATAGCGAGGGCGTGCGACCAGTGCCGGAAGAAGAAGGTATGATGAAATTCGAATTCTAAAATATAGCCGGATATACTTTTTTTTTTTTCCTTCTCTTTCTTTCTTTCTTTTTTGTCTCTTCCACGTTTTTTTGGTTTTATTATTCAACTAGGATAAGCTAAGCTAATACCACGTGGATGCGTGTTTTTTTTTTAGATCAAATGTGACGGAAAGACACCCGCCTGCACACATTGTCAGAACTACCATACGGAATGCGTCTTCACCCTGGTGGAAAAGAAGCGCCAGCCGCCGAAAGGGTACTTCCCTTATCACCTACCATTGTGATCGATTTTTTTTTGAATATAAAGTTAAAACAAATAGTAACAAGTTGAATAATATTTCAATGTCTTTTTTATATATATATACAGCGCCAAATACATCGAAGGCCTCGAAAACCGTCTCGGTCGTATGGAATCCCTCCTAAAGTTATCCGGTATCCTCCCCGAATTCGACTCCAAAACCGACTTGGGAACTCTCGAAAAACGTCTGGAAGCCCAGAGGCTACAATCCATCGGGGCGAATTCGCCTGGTAATCCGTTATTCTCGCGGCCCGTATCTTCGAATGGAACACCGAATTCTGGTGGGATAATCGCGGGGTCGAGTCCCAGTGATATCAGTAGGGAGGAGGAAGAGTCAGAATCGCTGTCGGATAAGATGTCGAGCTTGGTGACGAATGCGAGGGGGGAGACTAGGTTTATCGGCAGCAGTTCTGGATTTTCGATATTTTCGCCAAAGGGGATTCAGTGGGTTAATTCGAAAACCGGAGATCGGGCTTTTCAGAAAATGTTGGTCAAGTTGATGCAGGCGGATCATAAGTTTGAACATTGGAGGCCGGATGTTTGGGATGCGGTTTTTTCGACGAAATGTCAGAACTCGCTGCCGTCGAAGGCGGAGGCGGAGAGTTATGCGCAGGGTATGGTTCTATTAAATTCCACTTTAATATTTCTGCTTTGATATTTTACGTTGTGACCGTGTGGTGTTTTTTCTTCTTTTTTCTTTCTTTTTGGTGTATTGGGACTCACTTAACTTTCAGAATATTTTAGTACGGTGAACCTGCTATTTCCGTTATATCACCAAGCAAGCTTTGAGAGTCTGCTGGAGGAGCAATACTCGGATAACCCGCCAAAGGGGACAGGGTGGTACGCTTCTTTGAATATGGTTTTGGCGGTGGGGAGCCGGATACGTGGGTCGAAACTGAAGACACCGTCTGCCGCCGAAGATTCAAGGGGTTGGAAGTTATTCCAGAATGCGATGTGCATGTATCCGGTCCTTACCCTGCAGAATACCGATATCCATTCAATACAAGCTCTGTTAGCAATGGTAGGTTTTTGAGTATCTTTTTATATTAAAGTTCGAGACGCTGCTAAATCCCCGTCATAGGCTCTATTCTTACAAGGAACGGCCAATCCGCAACCTTTGTACAACATTATATCTGCAGCAGTCCGAGTCGCATTTTCAGTTGGTCTTCATCGACGAGCTGATGCTTTTGGGTTTGGAAGGGAAGAGGCTGAACATCGTAAGAGAGTGTTCTGGATTGCATACTGCATCGACAAGGATATCGCTCTTAGAAGCGGTCGACCCAGCACCATCAACGACGAAGACATCAACGTCGAACTGCCCGAAGAAGAATCCTTCGACGGACTCGGCATGGTCAGACTCTCCGATGGCCAAGGAAAAGTCAACCTCTTCCGCCGTAATTGTCGCTTCGCCCAGATCCAAAGCAGAGTTTATATGCAACTGTACTCCGCCAAAGCCGCCAAACAAAGCGATGGCGAGCTATTAAACACCATCGGAGACCTCGACCGCGAACTCGAAGAGTGGAGGGATTCCATACCGTTAGATTTCCGACCTGAACATGAGATCTCGGAAGCATATTTGGACAGTACGATGCCAATCGTGCTGATGCACTTTTCGTATTTCAATTGCTTGGCTACCATTCATCGGATGGTAAGCATTCTTAGAATACACTACTTAGACCGTCGGCGCGCTACTAACGCGAAATCTCAGTCTATCGCGCATAGCTATTGGACGAACCGGTTGGCGCAATATGCGGTCTCCGGATTGAGTACTCGACCGCTGAACCCGAGGGTTTTCTCGAGTGCGGCGCTGTCGGTGTCTGCTGCGAGATCGTCGATACATCTGTTAAAATACGTTAATCATAATGATATAAATTGTATCTGGTAAGTGATTAATTTCTCCTTCCTCGCAAGTTATTTTGCGATAAGGATTTTTAAAAAAAAAGTTGGGTTGGAAGTTGACCGGATTAGTAGGCTGGTGTTTTATTACCCTGTCACGGCGTTGATTACATTATTTGCGAATATTCTGCAAAACCCACAGGATGCGAATGCGAAGACGGATTTGAAACTTATGGGCGTTGTGATTGATTTTCTTAATAAGATCGATGAAGAGGAGAGGGCGAGGTGTGGGTTTGAGAAACTGATATACATCACCGAGGAGTTTGTGCGTCTTGCCGCCGCCGCGATTGAGCGAGCGGAGAAGCAGGCGCTGATGAGGAGGAAACGAAAGAAGTTGGGCGGAAGTAAGATGAAGGAAACGGTAGAAGAGAAGCCACTGTTAGAGGTATGTTGAAAATATTTCGTGGAAGTTAGGTATATAGTACATGACTAACGATATGATATTGATAGGTCCCCGGCGAGGATGAGCATATGAACTGGTCTCCTTCCAAAGCCTCGGAGCAACTTTTCGCCACTATTCCGCAACGCCCTTCGGAGCCTAGTAGTATTCTACAAACGCCCATCGAAACTCCCTTTGACCAACAGACACCAACGGATGCCATGTCCGGCATAGACGGATTCACATTCGGATACAATACTCCCGGCCGGACCCCACAGATGTGCGATGAGAACGAGTTAAGTCCCCTAACCAAAAGCTTTCAGGAAAGCTTTTCGAGTCCGTTTGTACCGCAGGGTTTGTGGAATCTGAACCAGACTTTTGAATGGGATTGGGCGAATTTTGGTATGATGAATACCAATGGGAGTAATAGCGGGGGTCTTGGGTTAGGGGAAGATTCGAATGGGAGTACGATGAACTGGGATGGGATGGGATTCTTCTAGTTCCTGTCACGGATCTCTCTCTCCTCTTTTTGTTTTTTGAGACAAAGTCGTTCTGTGGGCGATATCGAGCTGGGATCTTTTTTCTTCTTCTTACTTTCATATTGGAATTTACTTTGGAGTTTATTTTGATTTGCAGATGGATTCGGCTTGGTTTTCTTTCTTCTTCTTCTTCTTATTTTCTTCCTGGGCTTGTTTCTTTTTGATCTATCTTATCATGTCGGCAAAAAAAGCTTTCTTGTAGAGGGGCATTCATTACTTTCTGGCTAGTCCTTAGATGGTGTTACTCCCGGCTTTTTTCTGTTTTTTACTTGTCAGTTCCTCCCATGTTGCTGCATCGATATAATAATTACTATATATCGTGGCGTTTGCTCTCGCGGTCTTGTCTTTGTTCTTGTCTTTGTCTTTTTGGTAGGATTTATTAGTAGTAGCTGTATATTGTACAATAGGATATCTCCCTTTCTCTCTCTCTCTCTCTTTCCCCCCGGTTTCTCTTGTCCTTTCGACCTTGAAGTAGTTAAAGACATGCTCGTTTTCCTTTGATGAATGCATGAAAAATCCTGATCGCTCGAATAAAAAAACAAATGACTTTTGTCCCAATCCAATAACGCCTGAATCTCGTCTTTCTATAATCCTACAACCCCCCCATGAATCAACTGTAGACAGATGCTCATAATTCAAAGAACCCGCCATCACTACCTTCATCCTCATCCTCATCCTCGTTTTTATCAGATATGCTCTTCCCATTCTTATTCCCATCATGACCCTGCTTCTTGTTGTTGTTGTTATTGCTGCCGTTATTTTTCTTCTTATTCTTCACGTCGACTCCACCGCCAAACCCTTCTGCGGCATTGGCTTCCACCAATGCATCGCCTCTATCCAGAGTCCCTTCTTCCATCCTCTTCTCGATGTCTTGTCGTATACGCACCCTCTTCTGGTTTGTATCTTTACTATCCCCGGACCTATATAAAGAAATGTATTTTTCCAGAGGTGGGTAGTGCATGATGTAGTTCAAGTCGACCTCCGCAGCATGGATTTTCTTGATTAACCCCTCCTTTTCCTTTTTCGATTCTTCGTCTGCCGAAGAAGTATTATTATTATTATTATCTAAGGCATTGAATTCGCGATTCAACCGACTCAAAGCTCTGGTAGCTTTCCTACGCTCGAAGAAACGGACTTTATGGTATCTTTTCTCGAGGAGTTGGACTTTGGAGGAGGTTTGTTGGAGGGAGAGTTCGTGTTTGTAGGCTGAGAGGGCACGTTCGTGGTCTATACGGGTGGTGGCGGGGAGTTTTGTGGTTGCTGAGGATGGAGGGTTTAGGAGACGGGTTAGGTCGCGGATTTTCTTGCGAAGTTGGGAACGGGTGAGGGATGTTGAGGCCGGTTGGGGTTTTGGGGGTTTTGGACGGTTGGGTTTTTTTGTTTTCGGGCGGGGGATTTGGGAGAGGCGGGAGGGGTGGATTGCTGTTGATGACATTGTGGTTGGATATGTATGATGAAGTCTGTGGTGAAGATGAGGTTTGAAGTTGAAATTTTTATGCGATTCGCAAAGGTGAGATTGAGATTGAGATTATGTGAGCAGTTTAACTAAGAATAGGCGAGAAATTGGTTTTTTTTTTTTTTTTTTTTTTTT